TGTCAACCATGACCTTTTTATCTTCATGTTGTGTAATTTGTGATATTTTTTTTAATACAAGATAAACATCCTACGAATATGATTTTGATAATGAGCAGATTTAGTTAAGATCCTGATGTAGTAGTACGTCGTTTATGACAGAATTGTGGGTTTACTATTTTTGTTTTTATTTCTTTATTGAGTATTACAACAATCTGTCTCTTGGACAAACTATTTTAAGCTAGGCCTTCAAATGAATGGATTATATTTTTGGATGTTTCAAATTTTAGCCAAATTACTAAGTTCTTTTCTGTATATGCATATGAATTTATGGATGTTGTTCTAATACATACTCTGTACTGATACTTATAAAATGCATATTATTATATCTTAGAAAAAATTTAATTTTAATTAAATATGGTTTTGTCAAATAACATAGATAGAAGATCATATCGTCTGTTTTTCCTATATTTTTTTTAAACTAATGTGGACTCTGCTAAGGGATATTTTTTTAAGGGGGATAAGGTAAATTTTGCCGCCTCTCAAAATAAAAGTCGACATTTTATATCAGTATTTTAGGTGAAGTATTTCAAAATAATTTAGTAAAAAGTAACTCGCGATATTGATGATTGAATTGAGGTAAAATAATCAATATGTGAAAATAAATCAAAATTTTGCTTCCCTGAGCTATTTCTCCCAATGTTCCTAGTGGTTGGATGGATAGAAAAATATATATTTTTTTTAAACCCTGCAATTCCGATATGTAAGCTACAAGAAATTAATTTTGAGACCATCATCATCAAAACTAAAATTTCTATAAATCTATAGTACCGGTTCTTAAGTGTTCGATTTATTTTTATTATTATTATTTCGAGTGAACTAATCGATTTATCAATTACGAAAATAATATGATTTTTTCAGTACGTTTATTTCCGACTTTTAACCACTGTGTGCCGTTCTTAATCCGTCGATATTGTTTTGATTACTATTTTAGTTATCTTTCCGACTTTAAAGGGCCTATTAAATTAACTATGCTCAGGACTAACTATTCGTTTTCTTAACGTCAAATTATTCTTCACTGATCCAAATATTCAACGCAATACTTACTTTTCAACAGATAAAGAATAAAAAGAATTTGTCTGCCTTTTTGTTACTTGAACTTTGGAGATCCCTCTTACTCAAACTTTTCTACACATTTAAATTCATCCCTCTTATACCATATAGATGAAAATTATCTCAGACGTGGTTTTTGCATCTGAAAATTCCAAGTATACGTAACTGTCGTTATTGTAATACTTTTTGTTATCATTACTCTTTCGGGTTGAGAAACAACTGCTTGCAAATATTTGTAGCTATGAGAGATAAGGTACCATTTTTTTATTTTTTATTTTTTTATAATTATTTGGAGACCTGAATTTTCGTGTCTAATAGTTCCAAATTGACGCTGTTTTATATTCTTTTTCTATTATTATTCTATCATGTTCATAAATAACTGATTCTAAATATATGATGTTATCTGGGAAAGTGATGTTTTTTCCTTAATTGTGAAAGTCTTTCTAAACAAAATTGCCGAAGGGTGAAAGTTATGGTAACAGCTGGTGGTAATTAATCCATCGGCTAGCGGCCTGCTCTCGACTGGTTCGGCCGGTCTGTGAGTGAGTCTACTCTCAACTGTCGGATTATTATCTAAGGTCCGTCGGATTAAAATATTTTACTCTTAGGCGATCGATAATATCCTTCATTATCATAGTTCCGAAATTTGCTCCATTATCTTCCCGTTTATACTTTCTTATTACCGTTATACCTCCTTGTTTTTTTCGTAGATAACGGATGAGAAATTTCAGTTTGAGAACAGACGCAAAAAAAATAGGTTCATTAATATCGAGCTAACATTTTTTGAAAGCTTCATAATGCCATAAAAAATTATTATACTGTGTCTTAAATATGTTTTGCAGTACTGAAGATCCAAAATAATTTCGAAAGTACAGTTTAAAAAAAAAATTATTTTAACTTTTTGGTTTATTATTTTTAATAATGAACCATTGTAATCGACCAAACTATTTAAAAACTGAATCCCTCCCCCTCAAAATTTGAGGTTTTGCGTTTCAGGATACATAGAACTGTATAAACGAATAAAAACAATTTGCCTGTCCGTTGTCCGCCGTCCGCGTCTTTTCTCCGAGACTACAAGACTATTTTTTTTCAAATTTTAAATTAAAGTCAGGAGTCACCCGAGGATGATCTTCCAATCTCTACATTATTATCCGTTCTTTCTTTTCAAGATGGCTGCCAAAAAACCGGTGATGGTATATGTAGCGCCTAAACAAATGTACCAATTTCAATGAAACTTCGCTAATGTCTTTCACTCGGCGCACTTTAAATATACATATAAAACATAATTCATCGAAAAGTACTTCTCTTTCAAGATGGCGGCTGAGAGACCTGTTTTGTATAGACTGTACCGCCTGAACGGATGTACCGATTTCAATGAAATTTGGCTAAAATGATTCTCCTTTAAAATCCTTTAAATTTTTCTATTCAACGTACTTCAGCAAAAAGAAGCTGGAAAAAAAGTTACGAGGGATGTTAAAAGTAGATTTTCGAAATACTCAAAAGGTACTCACTTTTAATTGGATGTTTCATGAGTATTTAAATTTTCCAAAAAATAATCATAAAATCATTCAAGGAAATCGGACAATTAGGTGCAAAGATTTGGCGTCCCAAATGCTTTTTATTTGTTCTACTGCTGTAATATCCTTTATTTTGCTTTTGAATTTCTGAAAGTGTTACCTCAGCTGAAGTAATGTTGTCTGTTTTTTACTACCTAACTATTAAAAATGAACACTTCAAAAAAACAGACACAAATAAAACGACTTATCTATTCAATCTGAGAATGAAGATTTATTTATTTCGATTTTTTAAATATCTGTTAAACATAAAACATCAAATTTCGGGGGAGGGTTGATTTTGTTTTCTTCCTCTGTCCTTCTTTCGTTCTTTGAATGTCTGTCCACTTCAGTAGGTATTTAATTTTATAGAATTTTGTTATGTAAGTGACATATTGTTTTTTTTTTAATAATCGTGATACTTGATGGTGTCTTTTTGTAGTATGTCCATATGGATCAAAGTATGCATTTAGGTTCTGTTTTGAAAATACGGAGGTACGGTAAATATACTAGCAATAAACATAATAGGTAATAGGTAGTAATAGGAATTAATTGGTAGTAAGCTTTATATGCCCAAAAGAGAGTGCAGACACGAGTAGGTTTGGATCTAAAACACTTAGGATGATGCCTGAACTTCAAGTGGTATCATACCACAATAACCGAGTGGTTGATTTTTTTAATGGAGCAAGGTTGGATCTTTGTTTCATGGATGTTTCCTTATCACTTTTCTTTAGGAGATAGGATTTAGAAATTTTGATTCACTCATCTGTAGTTAGCTATTTCCTAGTTAATAAACTGTAGAGAATTTTTTTTTTTTTAAATTTTGTAAATAACCCATTGACCCCAAAATATGGGCGTCTATTAATGGTGCAAAATACGCTTTTGTTTTTCATGATAATAAATTAATTGATTGTCAAATAAAAAATACGAAATTGGTAAAATGCTAAATTTTCTGTCAATTAAACCCATTTTCAAAGATCCACCATCAGAACTAAAGTTGAGAACTAATTAAAAAAAAATTCTCTTAAAGTGTCTATTACCGGTACATTTACCTTGAACGTTTTCAAAATATAGCTTTCATATCTAGTGTAACTCAATAGCTTATATTTCTAGATCTAGGACTTCTAGTTTGAGAGTGAGATGTGTGTAAGGAATTAATTTTGAAGTATTGACGTGTCAAGGGAAAAATTTAACGCTTAAGCGATAAAAGGGAGAAATTTTAATGATACGATATTAGACCACCTGTGTATTAACTCTCACAATTTCTGCAAATTTCAAATTAACAGTAATAAGTGTTATCTAGGTCAACTGAACTCGACTATAGAAAGACATCAAGTTGGTAAATACTAGGCTTTGAAGTCGATAATTAAAAAAAATGAAAATAAAATCTAATCATTACTTTTATCTGAATTTTTTTAAAATTATTAATGATTTTTACTAGAAGCGATTTTTATTTTTGATCATGGATGATAAAAACCACATCCTAATCATTATTTTTTAACCAAATTTTTACAATTAACAATAATAATAATTTTTGAGTAATATATTTTTAAATTAGGAACAATTTTTTTTTTAATGCCTTTGATATATTTTGAGTCTGAAGTATTACTTGGAGAATATTGTTATCAAATATTAGCAACAGAAATTCTTTATTTTCGAAATTATAATTAATTTCTAATATAATTATATAATTAGAAATTTTAGCTTACTAAAACAAATATATAAATATATTTATGGATATGTATAAATATATAAATATAAGCCAAATACTGCGTGAACAATTAAAGCAATTTCACAAATATAATATTAAAAAATGTGTACAACATTAATGTAGATATGCATATTAATATTTAATTTAATTTGTGTGCAAAACGTGATTTTTATTTTCTGATCAATGTTTTTTTTTTCACAATTTAATCACTATTATTTATGTAAAATCGTTTCACTTAGTAAGTGATAATTATTTTTAATCGAATCAATATACATCAAAGATGAATTTAATATTTTATTAAAAAAACTCAGGCATGATTTTTAAGTTAAAAATCAAATATGATAATCATTACATGATTTTTTTGAAAAAATAGTTATTGATTACAAACACTGATAAATACCACATTTTAGTATATTCTTAAAATAATTACATTGATTTTTTAACTATTCATTTTATGATATTAATGTAGGTCTTTTTGTACCTAACTCCCTGCATTTCTTGCAGCTTCTGGTCAAATCAGAGAAACAATTAATTGAAAGTTCAACTTTTCTCCAAAAATAATAATTTAATATGACTTATGTTAGTTTAATATGAAGAAGTTTTCATTATTATTATATTGTTATTATATAATATATTCATTGCAGAGGCTGGGAGACGTGAACTAGACATGAGGTGACCAAGAGACAAGATGCCTGCAGAATACAGCAGGCTCAATGGGTAAGTTCTATCAACGTTATTTAAAATTATTATTATATTACAATAAAAATTAATAATGAAATATAAAAATAATTAATAAAAGTTAATAACATTCAAGATCTTTTTTTTAAAAACCTATCACAGTATATTCTGACCCAAAGATACCAAACAAATAATTTTCAGATATTGTACATTCCATGTACTTGGTTACATAACTTTAGGAACTCTACCCCCAATGACGTTCTCTATATAAATCTTCAAAACTAACTAAAATAGAAACTCTCGATAAATTATATCTCGTCTTATGCCAATAATTTGAATATCGAAGTAGTGTCTTTATTATAGTTCTCTAATGCTTTTAAAATTATGTTCTCACCTCTAGTCCATATATAATGATATCATTTGTGTCGAGACAATGTCTTTTAATCAATTCATTGGGAAAACTTTAATCTTCGTGACTTGGGTTGATTCCATTTTATTCAAATGTCGATTCGTTTAATCGGCACTAGGAAGGATATTTAATTGTGAAATCTATTGGACGACCTTCGTAAACGTCATAGGACTCGCGCATCTCAAGTTTATTTTTTTTTATCTCTCAGCGTTATAATAAATTGTCAATTCTTTATTCAGTACCCTTAAACTTAAACATATAAAATTAAATATTTTGTTTCTCGTTAGACAAGAGAAATGCTATTCTCTGTAAGGAAGAATTATGAAATGATTACCGCATCTCCTATCTTCTCCAATTTATCGGAGACATACTAGCATCAATATTACAAATCATTACTATTAACACAAATAATTACCAACAATGATAAATATAGGTGCTATAATAATGTCTCAATAAATTTGAAGAACAATTATTTCTTGTAACCATTAATATAGTTTGGCTTGTTGTTTTTTAATTACCATATACTTCTAATTCCGATAATCGGTTTAAGAACCATGAAAGCCTATCGAATTTTCGGCAGATTTATCTTAGCTGTATCTTTTTAGAAAAAAAAATTAAGGATATTTGCTGCAAATAAGTCTAGACTGAGGGACGGAAGCGTAATGGTAGTGGGAGAGTTGAGTAACCACCTTCATTCTTTTCGCACTCAGGTGTACTGTACAGGTATTATTCTGTACTGTACCGTAAATAGCCCACTGCGGTAGGCCCTGGTGCACAGTATGGGACATATCCTGATCCAGATCCTCGACAGCTTCTCGTGATCCTTACCAGAACTAAGCGGCTTAGCCTAAGAGAAAGCACCCCTGCGGAGGTCCTTGGCTTTCTTCGGCTCCCTGGAAGTGTGTCACTCCATCCAAGGTTCCTAACCTCTGCCTCCATCCTCCAGGTATACCATCGGCTTTCGCGTGAAAGGTCACGATAGTTAATTCTAAATTTATCCAGATGAGTGATGCCCTCAGGAGCTAACTGTAGTTCCTTAAGGTTTTTTATGACTTTTGCTGATTATATCACTTCCGGAATTAAAAATAAAATGCACAAAACATCCATCAGGGACTGTTATACAGCAATTCCTCTCGTCTACGTGTTCCCTATTACTCCGTTCTTATCTCTCCCTTAAAAATTACAAATTAAATCATAATTTTGTCTAATCATCCTCTTTTTTTCAGTCCGTCGGTGTCCCTCAAGTTGGTCAGTATCCAGCCCTCGCTGCATATGCTGATAACTCTTGTGTTATTTGTCAATAATGATGCAACTGTTGAATTTCAAACTCTGGAGTCACAGTTACTTTCCAAGCTATGTCAAAAATTCATAAAAAAATCTCAGGAAATCACTATTGTCTTGCATAGCAAAAATATTTTTAATATTCATAATAATATTATTCGGATGCATTTCTGGACACAGCACAAGCTTTTGATCGGGTATGGGACGCCAGGCTGCTTTCCAAGCTTAAAATCCATCTACTCCAGTCTTTATATTCTAGCCCTCCGCCCTCCGCTCTCGTCTTATGCCTAGTTCTCAGATTAATTGGGGGCGTGATGGCCGAATGGGCTAAAGCGTGTGCACAGTACCGCTAGTTGCCTGGCAACCGGATAACAGAGATTTGAGATGATTTAAAAAAGTACGAGTTCGCGTCCCGGTGCCGGAGGGAATTTTAAATTCCCCGCCCTCACCCCCCGTCCCGGGAAAATCCCGTATAGCCTAAAAGGCGAGGTAGGGGAGAACAAATAAAAAAAAAAAATAAATAAAAAAAAAAGTTCTCAGATTACCTCTCTGTTCGCACTTTTCGAGTTCACTGCGTACAGAATTTTCCAATTGCTATCCAGTCGGTGCCGGTGTTCCGCTTTTGTGTCCCCTCCTTTATATCCTCATTACCGCTGATATCCCGATACCTTCTTGGCATCATTTGCTGAAGACATCGCCATCCAACTCAGATCTTGAAATAGCATCATTAAATCTGCAAAGGCGCATCTCCCTGATTGAGCACTGGTGTAATAAAAGGTGGATTAAAGTAAACGAATCCAAATGCTAACTCATTACCTTTACGCTCTGACGCGATCTTGTCATCCAGTTCATTTTAATCCATCTAGCTTCTTTTTTTTAGACACAGTCTCTATTCAAGAATGTATGTGGCTAACGCGTTGTCGTTCAATCTCCAATGACTTTAACATCAGTGAAGCGGTTGAGAGAGTAACGCAGGGATCTCCTAGGATTCTGCATTTTACTTAATAGTTTCAGGGACAAGCGTTCCTCCAAGTTCTCTCGCCTGATTCTAAATAGTATATGTAGGTATGTCTGTGTTTTTCTTTACAGCGATTGGAACAAGTGGTAGAAGGAGACCAAGACCTATAATCGAGTAGTTAAGCATTTCCAAAAAAAATTAATGAACCAACTTTATGAATTTCAGTATAATTCAAGAAAGCTCTTAGCCCCCCATCTACATAGATGAAAAAAATGTATTGACGTGTTCCTATCAGTAGGCCAGCTTACGTCTTTCTATCAATTTATTCTGTATATTAGTAAGTATTTTTTTGCTTTGTTTCAAGTTTTAAGTTGAAATTATTTTAGTTGTTGAATAGCTAGTAGTTTGGGACATACAGGACATATTAACTGAGTTAGTAGTTTGGGAACTACATTATTGACTCAACATTTTTTGACGAGCTTAGGTTAGATTAGGACTACTGATTAGGTCCCTTGGAAATTCTACAAAGCACGACTTGTCGGTTCTGTCAGCATAACTCTTTTGAAAACAAAAATTAAAAGATATTATTAAAATTTCACTACAAAGCCAAGATTTATTGTTAATATTATAGTAGTAATAATAATAAAAATCATAAATTGGATAAAGAAGACTAAAAGTTCTAACAATCTCGAAAATTCGATTTATATGAAACTAGACCTTCGTCTACCTACAAACTTTGACCATTGAAGTAAAATATGCATTGTTAAAATCAATTCTTTATTTTCGAAAAATATAATTGTTGTTTTTACTTTACCAATACTTGAAATTCTTCGGATATTTAAAATTTTCGCTCCACAATCTATATTCCGAGAATCCTAAGAGATTTTGTTACTAACCACATGTAATATGGACCATAGTACTTGAGACCATTGTATGCTTAAAGTATCAATACCACTTTTTTATTTATCTCGTTTCTTATAACAGCTTATTTAAGATAATATATTTAGTCTACTATATTTTAGGTAGCGTTGGCGCGTTTATTCTTGTTCAGTTTTACAATAGCCTTTCCTTCACTTTTTTATGAAACTAAAAAACTTTTCTTTAACTTTTTTATCTAGCTTCACTTCCATATTTAATTGTTTCAGCTATTCGGTTATTTTTTATTATTACCTTTTTCTTATTGTTACATAGCTTTTGTAGACTTCTGTTTATTATTTATTACTGATTGTTATTGGAAGATTTAGTAATAGATTTATTGAATTATTTAAAATTGTTACATTTATTAAATTAAAACATCAACTATTTCATCAATCATAAACACCCACTAACCTAGGTGTCTGTAATAATAATTCGTCAGTTCTTAGGATTAAGAATTCAATTAGCGGAAATATGAAACAATTATTTTCCTGTATTGTTTCATATTTAGTCACATATAATTTAGTTTATATTCTCCTAATTAAAACTTCTCATTTTAGAAATTTCGCAGTTTTCTTCCTGACTTTATCACGAAATCCATGATATCCATCAACTAATTAGTAGCGGTTATCATTCATGAAGTGAATAGCTTCCATTTTACAGAGATGCATTGCAAGATTGGCAATTTGCCAGTCTTCTGTGGCCGGGCATTGGATGTCAGATTCCTTTGTCATAAATACAGCCAACAAAATTAAAATATCGATATCAGCGGAATCGAAAGCCACATAAATATCTAATTCGATCCTTGGCATGTTACTCACTTTCTAGACCCGTGCTAATGACTGTATAATTGTTGAAAGTGGAATGGAAACTCAAATAATAGTTTAGAAGAGGTGTGAAATAAGTTGACATTATAATTAGAAGAGGAAGCAGTTTAGTTGATAGTTAAAAAAAAAATAAGAGTAATAAATAAATTATCATAAAAGAGCATACCAACTTAAAAAATTCTGTGGATTTTAAAATATAAAAAAGTTAAATCGGAATCTACACCGAATTTCACTTCAAAGAAATAAAAATAAAATAAAATACTTAAAGAAATATGATCACACAATATCAACGCTTCTGGGCTATAATATAATGATTAATTAAGAAATAATTTTAGTTACTTGAAAATACGGACTAATAAACTCGACTGATAGGAATATAGGAATCGACCTGATCGTAGGCAAATGTTTTATTGTAAATTACGAAAGTATATGTTATTATGAGTAAAAGGAACCTTGCCATTCCATAGCCACTGCTTTAAAAATTGACGACTGATTTGAAGAATTGAGGTTCGAAACGGGAAGTCCATTGCGGAAAATATGAAACAATTTTTTATTTTTTGTTATATGGGTTAAGACATGTAAGAAACAAAATTGCTATCGCGGGCCACCAAGAAAAAGAAGACAAATTACTATAAATATGTCTGTAACT